TTGATGCGTTTATCCCATTTCCTCTCAAGGACTGGCAGTAAAAAAAAAAAAAATGATGCTGAAAATATCTTGTTCTGGGGAAACATCAAGGAATCACGGAGCCACAGAGGTAGTGCCCCACACAGCAGATGAATCTAAAGGGTTGGGAGACATGGGTCCTCAAGATGGAAAAAGGCGTGATAGAAAGCGAGTATCTATTTATCCTGCACCAGAAACATTCAGATAACTTTCATAACCATGATGTCACTGAATCCCCTCTGGATGTTGAAGGGATCATCATTTCTCATTTTGCAGAGGGGAAAACTAGCCCAGAGAAAACAAGGTCAACAGAAAGAGTGCAGCTAAGACCATCGTTGAACCCAAGTCTCCTGACCTGAAAATTAAGGCATTGTCAGAGCTGGGAGGGATTTGGAGATTAATCCAACTCCCTCACTTTTTAAAGATGACCAAATTGAAGTTCAAATAGAGAGAGAGAGATCATTTATCTAACCTTTTTAATTTTACAGAAAAGGTGAGTGTAATTGACTGATCGGGCAGCTCCCCACACAGGGTCTGCACTCACCCAAGTGTGGTCATGGTGACAATGGTATACCAGAAGGCCGCGGGGATGCTAGTAAAGTTGGTCTTGTTTGTGCCCTTCTCGGCATAAAACATAACAGTGGCGAAGATGATGATGGCCATGGTAAGGGAAAAGAGGAGAAAGCCCAGCTCAGAGGCACAGCTCTTGAGTGTGTAGCCCAGAATCCGCAAGCCCTGTGAGTGCCTGGAGAACTTGAAGATACGGAACACCCGGAACACCCGCAGGGTGACAAAGGCGCCCGAGACATCTTCGTTCTTGGGCACGAGGAGCCCGATGTAGTAGGGCAGGATGGCCACCACGTCGATGAGGCTCATTACACTCCGCAGGAAGCGGCAACGGCTAGGGGCCGCGAACAGCCGCAGAAGGTATTCACCTGTGAATATGAGTACACAGGCCGTGTCCATGCAGAAAAAGGCCAGCGGGAAGCGCTCGCCACAGGGCTGCTCCCTCGGGGGCCGCCGTGCAGGGCCGCGGCACGGAATGGTCTCAACCACGTTGGCGATGACCGACACAGCGATGAAAAAGCCGGTAACGTAGTAGAAAACGAGGGCTGCGGTGCTCGTGTGTGGGTTCTCGAAGGCCCGCCAGAGCTGCTGCCGCAGGGAGCTGCCAGCCGGCAGGGATGGGCCGTCCCCGGCCTGCTCGGCCTCCTCGTCCTCCGCCAGGCGCTCGGCGTTCTCCTTCTTGCGGTCCCGGTACTCTTCGAGGCAGCAGTCGCCCACGAGCTCAGGCACCAGGCCATAGAAGGCCAGCTCTTCGTCAAAGGCCTGGATGCACTCCTGCCGTGGGCAGTGCAGTCGGCCCGTGCGGTAGAAGTTGAGCACGTGCCGGAACATGTCTGGGTCGCGATCAAAGAAGTACTCGCCTGAGTCGGCGTCATAGAAGAATTCCTTTTCTGAACTGCCCAGCAGAGTGTCTGGGTAGCGGTCGAGCGTGTTCTTCCAGGTCTCAAAGCGCCGTCCGCTCACGTTCACCACCAGAACCTCATCCCCTCGAGAGGCCTTCACCCCCGGCGCGGGGGGCAGGGGCTGCTGGGCCAGGGGCAGCCAGCCCACCGCGGCCGCCCGTGCAAAAGGCAGCCATGTGGCCACGCCTGCTGCCATCCTGCCACGCCCCAGGCCCACGGAGACTTGTGGGGGGGGTTGGCCTTTAGGAGAATGTGGCTGTCTCCAGGATGGTGGAGGCTTGGAGAGGCCCTGGGCCACTCGCACAAGGAAACTGGGGGTGTCTAGAGAGGCCAAGAGGAACCGGGAGGAGGACCTAGAGAGATGGGCAAGGGCTTGGGGGACATGTAGAGGGTCTAAGAGGGACCAGGGCGATGTCTTGAGGGAGTGAGAAGGGGCTAGGGGACATGGAGAGGAGCAGAAGAGGAGCGTCTAGAGGTGCCAAAAAGGATCCGAGGGAGTGTTTAGAGACTGAGATGATTCTAGAGGGGTCAGCACTGCCTGAGAGGTATCTGGGGGTGTCTAGGATGAAGCAAGAAACACTGGGGAGTTGTCCACACTCTCAAGAGTTCTGAGGGAAGGAAGAAGGGACTGGAACCGCTTAGTGGGGTTGGAGAGGGGATCGGGGCATCCAGAGGGGTAGAAATGGAACCAGAGGTGTTTGCAAGAGGCTGAGAGTGTCTGGAGGGGGATTCTGAAGGAACTGAGAGAGGTGAGGAGGGTTGTCCAAACTCTCAAGACTTCTGGGGAGAAGATAAGGGGGTTGGAGCCCCTTCGTGGATCTAGGAAAGGGGTTGGTGCATCTAAGGGGTGGCTACAGAGCCAGGAGTTTGTAAAGAGGCTGAGAGGTGTCTTGGGAGTGCCTAGAGCTGCCAAGAATAGCCTGGGGGTGGAGTGTCCACACTCTACAGGAGTTCTGGGGAAGGAAGGAGAGGTGGGGCCCCCTAGTGGGGCTGGAGAAGGGGGTGGGGTATCTAAAGGGTTAGATATGGGGCCAGGTTATTTTTCAGAGGCTGAGAGGTGTCTGGTAGAGAAGGGTATCCAGGGGGGCTGAGAAAGCCTGGTCCACCCTCTCAAGAGTTCAGGGGGTAGGGAAGGGACCTGGAGAACCCCTCAGGGCTGGGACTCAACTGGAAGGAAGTTGGGCATAGCCTCAGAGCATCCAGAGAATCAAAAAAGACTAAGATAAGAGGAAGACGGGGTCCCCCTCAAAATGGGTTGGAGGGCAGGGTGGGGTGTTGAAAGGGAGTTGGGTGTGTCTGCAGGGAGGGGGGGCTCCTGGGCCTTACAGGAGCCCAGGAAGGCCGGGATCAGGCTGCGTCCCACTGTTGGGGGCTGGTCTGGGGAAACCACACCCCGAGGGGCTGGTGGTACGTGCTGGGCAGCGGCAGAAGCAGCAGCGGCAGCAGGACGTGAGGAGGAAGAGGAGAAGCAGCCACAGCCAGGCCTGGGAGAGAAGGCAGCACAGGCAGGAGGAGGGGGCTGGGTCCCTGGAAGGAGGCTCTGGAAGGACAAGGTCCAGTAGGACTGTCCCAGGATGGGCTAGGGCCTGGGGGCTGGACCAGGGAAGGACAAGGACAGCACTGTTGGTGGCCCCCTCCCCCTCCCCATAGGGCCGTCCTCACCTGTGTCCCCGCTGCAGCAGCAGCAACAGCGGTGGGGCTGGGGGTACCAAACACCGGAGCTCCTGCCCCACTCTGCAGAGCTGCCCAAGTTCTCCACCTCCTCTGGCTCTCTCTCCCCGCCCCTCTGAGCTTGCGGGGAGATGGAGAGGCAGGGAGGGGCCTCGTGGCTCCCAGAGTCCCCTCCCCTAGGACTGCCTGAGAGGGACCCTGGGGAGACTCCGCCTCCTACAAAGCTGGTTGGGCCTCAGTCGCGTCATCTGGAAAATGGGGGTGGCAGGGAGCTTTGCCAATTCTCCCCACCTCCTTCCTGGACTCCCCCCTCTTCCTGCCCAGATCCTACCCCCTCTGCCCCCAGGGGCCCCCACCCCCACCCGTCTGAATCAGCAGCACTTAGCAGATCCGATCGATGGGGAGGCGTCTGTTAATGGCCCCAGAGCAGGGAGTGCCACGGGGAATGATGCAGCGCTGTGTCCCCTCCCTGCCCCCTAGGCTGGAGAAGGGGGGGGTGGGGGAAAACTGGTGGGGGGGTGTTTTTCTAGAGGCCAGGCCCCCAAAGCTGCTCCCCAGTGGTGCTGGAGGGGTTAGAGTCCTGCTCTAACCAAGATTGCTGCCGTGGGACTGGAGCACTGTCCTGTTTGCGGATGTGAAACGTCGGGGGGGGGGCGGTAAGGGGAGTACAGATGGGGACAAGCCAGGTCCCACCTCCATAGCAGGTTCTCCCCCAGGCAGGCCCCACTCTGAGGTGCAGTCTCCATCATCTGTCCACATCCAGGAGCCTCAAATCATGCCTCCTCCGCTAGAGGGCTCTGCTCCTGGGTAGCAAGAGCACTGGGTACCAAGTGCCTCAGGCATGGGTGGGTTCAAGCCCCAGCTGTGCCACTGACTTATGTCCTTGAGCAAGTGACTTGCATTGTTTTTCTCTTTGTCGGATGGAGAGTTACCCCAGCTTGATAGTGTCTTTGGGAGCAATAAATGGAGTGATGTGAGAGGGGCATGGCACACAGAGGACGCCTTACCTTTAACAATTAAAGGTGTGTGGTGATGGGGGAGCAGTAATGCAGGGCCAATTTTTGCCTTTCAATGGACTTATCCATCCATGTAATCCTCCATTTGCTCATCACACTCCTGATTTGTCCATTTGTCCATCCCTCCTCCCACCCACCACCCACTTATCCATCCATTCTCCCCCTCACACAGCCAATTACTCTGTCCTTCCCTCTAGCCACCCATCTGTCCATTTAGTCATTAATCCACCTACCTATTCACTCATCCATTTGTATATTCACCCCATCTACCCCTACCCATATGGATCCCCCACCACCCAACTATCTGTCCATCTATCCATTGCTCTATCATTTATTCACCTACTCTTTACTCTTCCCATTAGCTCATCCATCTATCTGCCCACCCATCCATCCACACATTCCCCTAGCCATCCATCTATCCATTTATACCCCCACCTATCCATCCTCTACCTATCCACCTAGCAATCCATTTGTCCATTTATTCATCCAGTCACCTACCATCCATTTATTTCCCAACCTATCCATCACCAATCCATGCAACCTTCTACTTATTTATCAATCAGTCCATCCAACCACTTATCCATCCTCCCATCTATCTACTCATCCATACCCACACCCCATACACATTCACCCACATACATATCTGCAGATATTTCTGCTCCATTCAGTTTGAGAGGCTGGTCAACAGTAACTGGAGACAGGCTGGGTGAGGGTGGGGGAAGGAGAGTAAAGTTGCAGCCAGAGACCACCCTCCCAGTTCCAATGGTATAAACTCCCCACCCCCAGCACATCCCTCATGGTTGGAAAGAATCAGAGCAGACAGTCAGTGGGTGGGCCAGTCTGGCCAGATGGTATTTTGGCTGCACAGCTTTTACACACACACACACATGTTGCTAGAACGCTGAACATGGACCGTGCCCCACCCAGCATCCCCAATCCCAAATGCAGAGTAGCCAGGCTTCCAGACATAAATTAAAAAATAAAATAAAATAAAAAAAGAGTTGGTCTCTGGGAGGGAGAGCTCATGCAGAGATGAAGGCAAAGGCCCCTGGGAGCCAGGGCCAAGAAGGAGGAGAATCCCTGCCCCTCCCCTCAGGATTCCCCACTCCCCAGGGGCCTCGGCCCTAAGACAGGGTCACTAACGCCAGCCACCAGGCCTCCAACCCCTTTAATGTCCAGTCTCCCAACCTATCTGATTTTGGCGCTGGCCCCCATTTTCCCACCACAGCCCAAGGGAATGGCGGGTGGGGAAGGGAGGGAGTGGGTGCAGCCTGCAGGTCTTTAGCTGGCTTCTCCCGGCTCTAGGTCTGGGTCGGGGGACCCCACGCACTCCTTGCTGAGCCGCACAATTTCCTGGGACAGAACTTCCATGTCCTAAGAAACAAATGAGCCATCAGGAGTCAGAGAAGGTGGCAGGCGATGGCACCCTCATCAAGCCTGGGTGTCATCCTTCTCATCCCATCAATGCCCAGCTATGTCTAGCCTGAGACAGGAAGGTATTTGGAGCAGCTCCCAGAGCTCCCAGCAGTGGGCTGGGCTCGGAAAAGGTGTGTGTGGTGTGTGTGAGGGGGTGAGGAGTGCCTGGAGCTAGGGATATGGACATGGGAGTGGATCATCTGCTCTGTGTGGTGAGGCTGGAGGACATGACCCCTACCCCTGCCACCTTCTTGTCTCTAAATGGTGAGCTTGCTTCTTAGAGGTAGGGGCCGGACTTGCATCCTTTCTGACTTCCCCCAGAGATGGGGAAATACTTGGGTGGCAGGATGGGTGAGTGGACACGTGGGTGGATGCATGGGAGATCCATGGTAGGCAAATAGGTGGAAAAATGAACTGTTCAGAGGACAGACGGAGGACAACAGGTAAGCAAGCAGGTCGCTGGGTGGGTGGGTAAAAGGTAAGACAAGGGGTGACTGATGAGTAGGTAAGAGAGAGTGATGCATCAGGAAATGGGTGCAGGGGACTTCCCTGGTGGTCCAGTGGTTAAGACTCCACGCTCCCAATGCATGGGGCCCGGGTTCGATCCCCGGTCAGGGAACTAGATCCCGCATGCTGCAACTAAAGATCCCATGTGCCGCAAAGACCCGGTGCAGCCAAATATTTAAAAAAAAAAAAAAAAGGAGATGGGTGCAAAGGCATGGGCAGATGATCAGACGGGTAGCAGGGCAGATGGACAAATAGTAGGTGGGTTGATGGGAGAGTGGCTGAATGTGTGTATGAATGGATGAGTGGGAGGGTGCAAGGACAGAGAGAAGAGTGAAAGACTAAACTGATAGTGAGTAGGCTGACTGGAGGATGGGAAGATGAGGGGGAAGGAGTGCTTGGTGAATGGGGTGTGTGGAGAGGGGACTGACAGATGACCCAGGGGCTATGTGGCTGGAGAGACAAAGGGGTAGACTGGTAGGCCACACTTGCCTTGTGCAAGTGCATATTCTTGGTGAGCTGTTCCTCCAGCATGTTCTGTAACTTCTTGTTCATCTCCCGAAGGTTCTCGTCGCCTGGCTTCACTAGGTCTCTCAGGACGCTGCCCAGCCCACTACGGTCTGTGTGGCCTGCTGCCACAGACACATCTGCAAGGGCCCAGGCTGAGAATCACCCCCTCGGTCGAGCCGAAGGAGAGACAGAGACAGAGCAGGAAAGAGGGAAACAGAGAGTGGGGGAGAAAAATGGGGGGAGAAGCCATCTAATGGAGGAAGCAGAGGCTTTGCCATGTGAGACCTGGCTTCACTTACTAGCTGTGAGGCCCTGAGAAATGGGGTTAGGAACTAACTCATGGAGCTGGAAAAACACATATCTGTATGCAAAGCACAGAGCACACAGTCAGCTCTCAGCAAGCGTCAACTGGTATTATTCTGATTAATGAGGAAAAAACAGGGAGAGGAGAAGATCTGAAAGAAGGGAACAAAAGAAATAAAAATGGGGGATGGAGGAAGGAAGAGGAGAAAGGAGGAAAGGGGAGGAAGAGCGGAGAGAAGGACCCTAAAAGGGATATGCATCCAGAGAATGAAAATTTCCAGAGGTGGAACCATTTAGACAGGCAGTAGGAACAGTGAGACAAGATGAAGGGGGGATGGGGCAGAAAGAAGAGAAGGGAGAGAAAGCAGAGGAAGAGACCCAGGGAGGAGAAAGGACAATGGGAATGACGGAGAGACACTAGAGAAAGGAGAGTGGAGAGACGACAGAGACTCAGACAGGAGGGAGGAGCCGAGACAAGAGATGGAATACAGAGCAAGACACACAGGTCCTGGCCTGCCTGGCTCTTCCCTCTAGCACCTGTGGTCTCGGCAGTAACTTTGGTGAGTTCCGTAAGGAGAGGAGAGAAGCCGCAGCTCTGGACACTGGGGAAGGAGGGGGTAGGTGAGGGGCTGGACGAAGGGTGAGGGCTGGGGAGGGGCACTGACCAATCCGGCTGTCCATGACATAGGTCTCGATGATGGCGCTCTTCCGGCAGAGGTCCTCTGCCATGGACGCACTGCTCACCTCCAGGTGCTTCACCTGCAGGGTGGCCCAGCCCACCTCAGGCCCTCAACTGTGCATGTTCACCCATGAGGAGGGGCCTGGCCAGATATTGCCCCACCCCCACCCCCCACTCCTGCCACCCCGGCCTCCTCCCCAAGGGCAGGCCAAGAGGGGACGAGCAGTCAGACAGCACCTTCTCCTCCAGCATCCACTTCTCCTGCTGCGTCTCTGCCAGGCGCTGAAAGAGCTCAGCCACTTCCTCATCTGACAGCTCTGCTGGCCGCGGGGGCTGGGCCTGTGGGCTGCTGGATAAGGACTGCGGGGAAGAAGGCAGAGAGGCCAGCCCAGGCTCAGTGCAGACACCCCAGATAGGATCAGGGGCTGAGAAGGAGAACCAAGCCGGGGTGGGCTTTGCAACTGGGGCTGCAGACAAACTGCAGACAAGCCTCGGCACCCTCAGAGACTCTGGATCCCCCTTTGCCTTTTAAAGGGGGAGACAGGAACCACCACACCATAGCCTTATTGAGACCATGAAGAGAGAGCCTATAACAAATGAGCTCTCACTTCCAGTTGACAGGAAAACTAGGGGAGAGAGAAATGAGCTGAATGATACCACTAGGAAGCCAGCAGGAAAATCCCAAAGGTGGGACGTTTTCTTCAGGTCAACTGGGCTGGTCTCTTCTACAGGTTGATGTCACGAAAAAAATGGATCACACTAGATTCAAGAGACTTAAGGCACATAAAGCAACCAGATGCAGCAAATGTGCTCTGAAATTGAATGCTGGTTTCCATAAAACCAGCAATAAAGCACATTTTGGGACCAACTAGAGAAATCTGACTAAGGTCAAAGTATTCAAAAAGATGAAAATTTACCAAATTGGGAGGGTAGAGATCAACAGGTTACTTGTAATCTTATTTAGGTTTAAAAAAAAGAGAGAGAGAGGTCTAGAACGGTATGAACTAAGGATTTATAGTGGTGATCTCTGTATGGTGAAGATGTGATTTCTTTGGATTTTTAAAAAAAATCTTTGCTTGTGTTTTTTAAACTTTTCTACAATGTATACATACTACTTACAGAATGATAAAAAGGTTATTTCCAAATAAAAGTGTCTAGCAAGGAAGCTGACACAAACAATAATAATAAATGAAAATTATGAGTTGGAAAAAAGGATCTCCCACATGGATAATGCACCTACTATGAGCCACATATTTTATAGCACGCAGGAAAGGTGGAGTTAGCCCAAAGATGATGAAACAGAGGGTCAGAGAGAATAATTTGTCCATCCCCCATTTAGCAATCTGAATCCAAGTTGGTGAGCTTGAGGAAAAGTTGACAAGAAAATGTGTGTGCTGGGCCCAGAGTAGAAGATGGCTGCAGGGGAGGGAAAAAGGAGGGCCCAGAATTTGGGTAGAAGCTGGGGCTGTAGGTTCTTCCCCGCCCCTTACCCTGGCTGGAACAGTCGAGCTCTCCTTCTCCCGCAAGATCTCGCGGTAGCTGAAGGAGGAGATGCTACTGCTGTCCCCAGTCTGGGTCCGACTTGGTGAATTCATCTCTGATAGAACCAGCTCCTCGAGCCCTGGGCAGAGAGGGAAGAGAAATCTGAGCCCCAATCCCCCAGGGTCCCAGGGCACCGACTGGCAAGAAGAGGCAGAAATAGATTTGACAGAGGTGGAGAGAGGCAAAGAGACACTCAGGCATGGGTAACAGTGGAAGCCGACAGTAGGGTAGGGAAAGGCAGAAACCGAAAAAGGAGCTGCCTCTCTAGGCAAACACACACCAGAAGTGAAACAAAGGTGAAGATGGGGAGAAAGATGGTGATGTGGACACACATGGGCATAAAGTGGTGAATGCACTCAGAGTCAGGGTAAAGACAGCTGAAGAGGGCAGAGGGGCACCCCTATGTGCAGAGAGAAGACCCCAGAGAGACAGCAAGCCAGAGCTGATGATAGAGGCAAACAGAGACCCTGGCTAAGGACACTAGTCAGAGCAGAGACAGAGAGAGAAAAGATGGCGGCAGACTCGTAGCCATGCACCTAAATCTGAATTTCACCTAATGGACGGATAGAATGTATGGCACACAATTTGAATCTGTTTGTTGATCTGTACACCAATCTGTAACAGAACAGAAATAAAAGTCCTCCCTTATAAAGAGAGGTAACTTCAGGAGACTGAGTGCCTCAGCGAGACATTGATTTGGTAAGAGATACACCCGTTTTTGCCATGTCACTTGAAACACAGCCACTAAGCTTGTGTCTCTGTTCTTGCAGCTGCTTCTGGGTGTCAGGGAGGGGGGCTGACACCACAAGCCAAGGATCTCCAGCAAGAGCAGGATGGCTGTGGAGGGACAGGGAGCACATTTTCTCTCGTTTGTGATATGGGAGATGCACCAGAGCCATCACTGCATCTTATTTATTTAAACATATTTAAAGGCCATTTCTTTCTAAAAAAAAGTCCAAGGCAACTCAAATTTTTCTGTTGTGTCTTCTGCCTTAAGTGGCAAAAATAACATGGATTTTAGCTGCATAATGATCACACGGTAGTTTTGCTGCCTGATTGTAAGTCTGTCTCCCTAGCTCAACAGGGAGCTCCTAGGGGACTGAGACTTGGGCGGGCCTCCTACCAGGGACCCTGGATGTGAGCGAGAGGGCTCAGTCCATATTTATAGAATGAGAGAATGGATACAAGAGACTTAGAGACTCTGGGTGAGGTGTGGGAGTATATGATGGTTAGTGGGGAGATAAACAGAGACACAGACGAGAGAGAAGAGAGACAGAGATAAAGGAACAGGGAGAAGAAAAAGGCAGGAGGAGAAAAGGAGAGAACTAGAAAGAGAAAGCCAGGAGAGAAAGGCAGATACACAGATGACACAAGGAGGCAGAGAGAGACAGAAACAGAGAAGAGACACAGCAAAAAGGAGAGAGAGACACACAGAGAGATAACGCAGAGAGAGATAGAGGAAGGAGGGACTTCCCTGGCGGCGCAGTGGTTAAGAATCCGCCTGCCAATGCAGGGGACACGGGTTCGAGCCCTGGTCCTGGAAGATCCCACAGGCCGCGGGGCAACTAAGCCCATGCACCACAACTACTGAGCCCACGTGCCAAAACTACTGAAGCCTGCGTGCCTAGAGCCCGTGCTCCGCTACAAGAGAAGCCACTGCAATGAGAAGCCCGTGGACCGCAACAAAGAGTAGCCGCCGCTCACCACAACTAGAGAAAGCCCACGTGCAGCAACGAAGACCCAACGCAGCCAAAAATAAATAAATAAATAAATATATTAAAAAGAAAGAAACAAACAAAGGTGGGACAGACGCAGAGAAAGGGTAAAAGACAGACAAAGTGCAAGAGGGACAGAAGACACAGGAGAGCCCTGCAGAGTGAAGTATAGGAAGCAGCCCCAGCCTTCAGACCCAAGCTCTGCCTCCCTACACTTCAGCCTCCCCTGCCATCCGGGCCCCTCACCTGAGCGGCTCTTGCTATTGGTGAGGATGTCCTGCAACCGCTCCTGCAGTTTATCCGCCCGTTTCCGCTCCAGGTGCAGCTGCCGTTTGAGGTCCTTGAGCTGTGGGGAACGGGGGAAAGATAGGGGCTGAGGCCCGGTGGGCCCACAGGTGGGGGTGGCCGCAGGGCAGGAGTGGGCCATGCTTGGACACCTTTCCCCATCGTACCGCAGCACTGCCCTTCTTCTCCAGGATTCGCTGCCCATCCACCGTGTCCTTCACCTCCTGTGGGATAGAGAAAGCACAGCTGGTGGGTGCCAGAATGGCTGCATGCAGTGTGCTCCCTCCCTGCCCCATTACTGCATGCTGAGGCCCAGGGTGTGTTGAGGGACCCGGAGGGACCAGTGGGTGACCTGCTTCAGGCTGCTGATGGTCTTCAGGTGGCAGTCCCGCTCCTCCTGGGCCTGTTGGAGCTGATCCCGCACACCCTGAAGCTCCTCTTCCTTGCTCTGCAAAGCAGAGGGTAGCTCAGGCCGCAGCTTGGGAAACCTCAGTCCTCCCACCAGAGAGGAATGCCATCATGCAATGGGCACCTTCAGCTCGCTGGTGTGCTGCTCCCGACACTGCTTGAGGGCTTCCTCTTGTTCCTGCTGCTGCTGCTGCAGAGATTCCTACAAGACAAGTCCCAGGTCTGGCCACGGCCCCCCCCAGAGGACGTCACACCCCCCAGAGGACATCACACCCAGTGAGCGGTGTGAGGGATTGCAGCAGGGCCCCTGCGTATGCAGAGAAGAAACAGAGTGTCACGTTGAGGGCTGCGCCATTCACATCGAAGCCCAACATCTGCATTTACATCTTACTTTACTTAATAAAACATAACGTAGCGCTTACTGCACACCAGGAATGTTGTAGGGATTTTATATATATTAACTCAGTTTATATAACCCTCCCATAACACCTAGACAGCCGGTATTATTGTTATCCCTTTTTTTACGGATGTTGAAAACGGGCCACAGAGAAGTAAATAACTTGCCCAAGGCAAGTTATTTACTTGCCTTGTCTGGGCTAGAAAGCAGCCCAGACAGGATTCAAACCCAGGCAAACAACTGGCTCGAGCATGTGTGCTCTTCACTGCTACGTGACACTGCCTCTTATGTATTACCATGAGTTTTCCAGAAAATGGTAGTAAAAGTTCTGGTTGCATCAAAATTAGAATTATTATAATAATCTTCCGACAGAAGTACAATTTCAGAAGGAAGAGGTGCCTTTTCAAATTTGCACATCTGACATTCTGCCCTACTGATTGATGGCCATGGCCTGATCCCCTCCAGAGGGCTGCTGTTGAGCCAGGGGGCACTGTGGGGATGCCCAAGTCCAGAGCCTCAGAAAGTTCCAGGGCCTGACCACTTCCAGTCCCCTGCTTTGACATGCATACCCCCCAACCAGCCTCTGCACCAACTCACCTCAGCCTCCTTCAAGCGCCGTTCAAACCAGCCCTTGGCTCCATCCATGGAGTGTACCTGAGCTTGAAGTTCTTCCACTGTCTGCTGGAGAGTCTCCAGCTCCCGCGTTCGGGCCTGCAAGAGGGCAGAGCAGCAAGGGCCAGGTGGAGGAGCGGGCGCCTCACTCACGCCATCCCCTGGCCCATCAGCGAGGCTACGCTCCCCAGGTTTTCGACGCAGAGAGGCAGTATCATCTGCCCACCCACCTTCTCCTCGCGGATCTGCCCGCGCAGCTCCTCCTCCTGCCGCTTCTTGTCTTCATGTAGCTCACGGAGCTCACGCTCGTAGCGGGCGCGCACCCCCAGCACCTCCTTCTCGTGCCGTAGTCGGACTGCTCCCAGCTCCTCCTTGTGCTGGGACTTCTCCTGCAGCGTCTCCATGGCTAGCTCATCCAGCATGGCCTTCCGCTTCTCAGCACTCTGGCACCCAGGAGAGGGGGGCAGGAGGAGGTCAGTCAACCTCCTCCCCCAACACCAAACAAGGCCCAAGGAACAAGCCGAAGTCCACCTCCTCCCCATCCCGACTGAACGGCTAAGTCACTCACCCGTCCTCATGGAACTGGTCACTTTCTGTGCCCTCCCATTCCCGTGGGCTTGCCCACATCACCTGTCCCCCTGCAGACTGGGCCTCCCCCTGTGGTGTTGCCCACCTTACGAGCCTCCTGTAGTTCCTGGGTCAATTGCTCCTTCTCCTGCCCGAGTTCCTGAAGTTGTTCCAGCAGCCGACTATTGGCTCGCAATGACTCCTAATGTGGGGACAAAAAGGGTGAGTTTGATAAACAGCCCCCAGGAGGTGCTGCTCACCCAGGACATTTCTGGTAGAACATCTCCCTTAACCCTGGTAAAGTGGGTGATGTTCTGTTTCTAGATGAGAAACATGGCAGAGGCTGCTAGCTGCTCCCCAGCATTCATTCTCCCGCTATTATTCCGGTTTCTATTGTGGAATCAGAATGGCTATCCTAACTAACTGAAGAGGCTCAGTCTCAAGTGAAATGACTTGGTCTAGGACACACAGGTGCTAATAAGTTCGGGAGTCACACTGGAACCCAGGTCCACCTGACTCCATGGTCTTCCCACAGCACCTCATGGGAAACTCCACTGAGCCAGGACTAGGGAACTAGGAGGAGACAGGTCAAAGCCAGAGGCGTCACCTGGAGCTGGGAGTTGAGGTCATCTTTCTGTCCCATGAGGTCCTCATACTCAGTCTGCCGCTGCTGCAACTCAGCTGTCAGCCCAGCAGTCTGTTCCCGGAGCATATTCAGTTCTTGGGTCTTTGCTGTTTGGATCTGGAGAGAGTGGTGGTGATGGAAAGTGCAGTGAAAGGGGCCCCAGGGGCCAGTCACGGGGTGTTCCAGGGAGACAGGGAGAGAGGTGAAAGGAGAGCCAGGAGTAGAGAGAGAGTATTTCAAAGAGAGAAGCAGTGAGAAAAAGAGATCAACAGGGGATTGGTAAGTGTGGTATATTCATACAATGAAATAGTACACAGAGAAAGTAGAACAGATCAGTGCTACATATGGATAAACCTCACAGATATAACGCTTCAGGAAAGAAGCCAGACATAGATTGGGTGTCTGATTCCATTTACATGAAGTTGAAAAGCAAGCAAAACTAATCTATGTTGCTAAAGGTCAGAGGAGTGGTTACTTCTGGGGAAGTATTGATTGAGAAGGGGTAGAAGGGACCTTCTGGAGTGCTGAAAATGCTCTGTATCTTCTTCTGGGTGGTGGCTACATGGAGACAGATAAATATACAGACAGGGATAATTCACTGAGTGTACACTTAAGATCAGTACACTTCTTGCAGTTTACTGGAGAGAAACTAGAATGCAAAAAAAGCAGGGATGGATGACCAGAGAGAAGAGGGGTGGAAGCCAACAGAAAGGAGAAGCTGAGAATGAAACAGAAACAGAGGCAGGAGAACAGCACGAGGTCCAGACTACGTTGCCCCAGTGTGGATCAAAAGCAGAGGGAGACGGGGAGCTGGGGAGGGATCGGCGCAGGCTCCCACGTGTCCTGTACCTGCTCCAGGGCAGCCAGGCTAGTCCTCAAGGCATTGTTCTCAGCCAAAAGTCCTTCCACTTGTTCCTGCGCATCCGCACTCTGGATGGACACCTGGCCCCACCCCCACAACGAGTGAGAGTGGGTCCAGAACAGGAGGACAGGACCTACCCGCAGCCAAGAAAGAAAGGACACACATACACACACCCACGAGAACGACGACCAGGGGAAGCAGGACCCTGGGGCCTTGCCTGCCTGTACAATACCCACTGAGGCTGCCCCCACCCTCACCCCCACCTCCCTGAGCCCGCTCAGTACAATGTACCTGATCTTGTAGGGCTCGCAGAGCTGCCGCATGCTCCAGGAGCTCCCCCTGCCGCTGATCTCTCAGCTCTGCCAAGCTCTGTGGGGACCACGTCAGGGGAGCCCATTCCAGACCTCAGCCTCCCCTGGGGTACATATGACCACACAGACTCCCTCTCTGACCACCTGGCAGCATGCTGCCTAAGTACTTGAGGGCCTTGGACTACCCAGCCATCAGAGATCTCAGGCTCACCCAGACTCTTGGTCATTATCCCCAGGGGCCTCACACACCCCTGTATCCCAGTTCTAAGCACCTCAGAAACCACCTAGGCTCCTGGGGATTTCAAATTCACTCAGCCCCCATCCATAAGATGGTCTCACACTCGGCCAGATTCCAGCTCAGAGGCCCCAGGATTCTCAGACACACTCAACCCCCAGGGACTACAGCTTCACCCAGATTCCTGACCCCAACCCTCAGGGGTTTTAGACACAGGCAACCCCCATGTCTCTAGTTTCCAAGAGTCTCAGACCCACCCAAACTCACCACCCCAGATCCTATAGATTTCAAACTGATACAAGTGTGTAGTTTCCAGCTCCTGGTGAGGTCTCAGACTGATACCACACCTGCCACTCCTGTCCCCAGTCTCTGGGGATCTTCACACCCAGCTTTACCCAGACTTCTGTCCCCAGCTCCTAGGGGCTTTAGTTAGACCCACAAGCCATCATAGCCCCCAATCCAAGGGACCTGAGACTCACTCACTCTAAGGGGAAGGCTGGAGGCTTTAAAGTCACCCAGCCGCCAACCCTTAGGAGCCTCAGACCTACCTAGACTTTTGCTCCAGTCGCTCGATGTCTCAGACTCACCAGTTTTTTATTCACAGCCCCCAGGGACCACCAACTCACATGATCCAACTTCCTAGGTGTCTTAAGACCCAAACCAGCCCCCAAGCTCTGAGGGTCTCAAATGCACTCAGACTCCAGGCCCAACTGTCTTACCCTTGAAAGTCTTATATCCACCCAGCCCCCATAGGTCTCAAAGTTACCCAACCTCCAGGGAGTTCAGACTCACTCCAAACTCCTGGTCCCAATCCAGTGACCACAGATTTCTCCAGATTCCTGTCTCTAATCCCCTGGAGTTTCAGATTCATCCAAACCTGTGGCACATAGGCCCCTAGTCCTCAGCCCCGCTGAGATCTTTAATTCATGCAGATTCCTACCCCAACTCCTAGGGCTCTCGGGGATCCCTAGTTCCCATTTTCCTAGCTCCTAGGGGGCCCAGAACCCATCCAGTCCCTATATTTCCAACACAGGAAATATCAGACTCCCCAGCTAGCCTCCGTAGACCTCAGAGCTCCCCGGACTCCCAGCCCTGTCCCTATCCCAGTGATCTCAGAACCCAACCCCTTACCTGATTGGCAGCCTCAAGTTCCTGCTGCAGCTTCTGAGTTCGAGCCAACTGGGCTTTGAGATCAGCTTCCTTCCGCTGTTGTAACTCCTCAATCTTGTTCCTGGGGGTGATTGGTGGGAGGGAGGGGCACATTGACCACAGACTGAGGCCCAGTCTCCCAGCTCTGCCCCTGTGATCTTCGGTTAATCCTGCTGGGCACTGCCCCATTGTCCACCAATATCCCCAACCCTGGTAGTTACCGGCTGTCATTGAATAGCGTCTCCTTTTCTGTCTGCAGACGGCAAAAACTGGGCACAAAAAGACAGACATATATGGGTCCATTCCACAAGTCAATCCCCTCCTTAGTCCCCGCAAACCCCTTCCCCCCAGCTCTGGAAGAAAGAAATTTACCTTTCTTGTTTCTTTTTCAGTTTCTCGGCAAGCTGGAGTGGGGGAGGAGAGTACAGACAAGTGATAAGAATGAGAATAATATTAATAAAGACAAAAATTTACTTCATGTTTACAGACACTTCCTACTAAGTCCTTTAGAGAAACTGGAATTTACTTTTGTTACCTCATGGAATCCTCAAAACAGTCCTGAGAAGTGAGCACCACTGGCTTTACAAATGGGAAACTGAGTCTCAGAAGGGTTAAATAATTTGGTTGCACAGCTGGTCGGCAGCAAAAACATGACCTCTACCCAGCTCCTCAGGCTCCAAAGCCCAACATTTATGCCTCCGACCTATCGACCGATGGCCATGTCATAGAATAGCTAGGCTGGGAGGCCTGGAAAACAGCCTCATGATTGGCTGCCTCACCACTGGGTCTCAAGTTCCTAAGATAAGAGCCAGCAGTCTATAAATGCTTGGATGGATGGACGGATGGATGGATGGATAGATGAATGAAAAAGCAGAGATCGGAGGACCCAGAAGGATGGGATGGGGCCTGCCACGCACAAGACATAGAAGGACCACATTAGCCCATTTCATATTGAAAACAAATCTGAGACATAAATGTGAGTCTCTCCATTTTACAGATGACAAAACTGAGGCTTTGAAGAGATACTCTGCCCCTCTACCCTACCAGGGGAAGCATGGCAGGTGGGGAGTGGGTGGGGCAAAGTCCAGGGAAAGCTCGGCAGCCCCACCTTAGCAAGTTCTTCCTGCAGCCTGGATGTTTCAGCCTGCTTCAAGGTCTGCTGGGAAGGATGAGGGAGGGAGTTGTTATCAGCAAGCGGGGAGGTAAGGCCTGTGCCTTTCCCTGCCCTCCTGCCTTCCTAATCCATCAGCCCACAAGATGGTGATGTCACAGATATCTCCGTGGGACCACAGGCAGAGCTAGGGCATCTGCTTGCCTCCTGGCACCCCAGCCCCAACAGACCCAGATTCACCTCCAAGCCTTGCAGTTGCTCCCAGAGCAGTCTCTTTTCCTCCTTCTCCATTTCCCATTTCAGCTCCACTTCTGCCAGTGGCATGGGGGCTAGGACAGGGGAAGCTGGGCCCCCCACGGGATCCCCTTGATCCTCACTGGCAGCTGGGGACCTCCCAGCCTCTTTCCCGTAGCGCTCCTGCAGGGCTGGTGGGTAGAACAGAGACATATGATGGATGAGGTTGTCTCAGAAGACCCCTGACACACCTCAAATAGAAAGAGAACTGGCCTTCAACCCCTTAGGTACCAGAAACCCTGCCTCAGTGGCCATAAGCCTACAAAACAAAGGTTCGCCCCCACCTCTCACAAATCTTTTAAGCCCCACCAACCGCGGAAATCCTGTCTACCATCAAATCAGCCCAAGATAATTTCCCAAGCCCCACCCCCATCCCCAAGCCCCACCCACAGCCCTCCAAGGTGATGCCCACCATCCTCCATTTACAGCTGAATCCTCCTATAACCTCTAATCCCCAGCCACATTCTACGAAGTCTCCTTCCTGATCACCAAACTACCACCCACCACCCCACAAGCCCAGCTGCTCTCCACAAGTCCACACATCAGGACACTCACTCCCACACTTTATCAAACTTTCTTTCAGCTTTCATCCCAGACCCCACTGACACCTTGGGCTCAGAATCTTCCTAACACTCCTTCATTCACTTTCTCCATTTAGCAAACACCTCCTTTCTGATGTTCAATCTGCTTATCAGTAACATTTGCTAGGTACCAGGTGCTGAACTAAGCTCAGAAATATATCACCTCTTATCTCTACTACAATTTTCCAGGTGGTAGACATCACTACATGCACTTCGTAGATGAAAAAGCTTTGGCTCAGAGAGGTGAAATGGCTTGTCCAAAATCATACACTGGTTCATGGCAGGGCCAAGCCTGATTCTGAAGCCTTTTTCTTCCCCCAGGGAAGACAACACCTTACTCAAGCCCCAAGGTCCCCACATCCCCAGGAGGGTCTCCATGCACCTGCCACGTTCTTCTGCAAGGCTGTGTTCTCTGCCTGCAGTCTCAGCAGCTCCCCATCCACAAGGCTCCCGGCTTGGGTAGCCCCTGCCCTGGCAGCCCCATCCTTCAGTTGCTGGTTCTCCCGCTCCAGCTGTTCCATCTGGCTACAGAGCTGAGCAGGGGACAAGTGAGGTAGCAGAAGAGCGAAGAATCAGAACAACATTTGCTGAAATATACATAGCATTTGGCCCATGTACTTTACAATTCATTTAATTCCATAACGCCCCTGTGATGTAGAGGCTCTCATTACTCATTATCCCCACTTCACAGATAAGGACACTGAGGCACAGATGTTAAACAACCTCAAACTCAAACACCTGTTAAGTGACAGAGACATGGAAGATGGAGAATACTGAGAACAATTTTCTGCTTGCCCGCTTTCAACCTCACAGTTGCAATCCAAGACCTCAGGCTCCTCTGGAAGTTGCTGGTCCAAGATGTCAGCATCATGGATAGCCCCACTGCCAGCTTTCTTCTGTGGAGGGGTCTGCGTCTGGGAGCCGAGGCACCACAGACAGCTTTCAGAGCATTTCCAGGGTTAGCACTGCCCATGGCTCCCTCTCGTTAGCCCTTGGAGAGCCCGTAGAGAGGAGTACAACGCAAATAAAACTAAGCCAGCCCCCTGCTCAACTCCTGAAGAAAACACAGTTTACACAGCAGACCTGACAAGATCCTTTGTCCCCATTTTCAGATTAGAAGACTGAGGCCCACAGAGAATTTTTATTTTATGGCCTGGGATATTTTCTACCCAGAACACCATTCCTTTCATCCAGTTCTTCACATGACTGACTTTTTTGCATCCTTCAGTGCTCTGCTCAAATGTTACCTTTCAAGTAGTATCCCCCAACACAGAAATTCCAATACTCTCTGTTTGCTTCTTGCTTACCTAGCATGAATTGCAATTAAATTTACCTAACATGTTCTTAGTTTTTTAAATTTCTGAAAATGTTTGGATCATAAATTGTGATTCACAATTAAATTTTATTTCGTAACGTAGGTCATAAGCATAGATTCGGAAGCCAGACTGCTTGGATATGAATTTCTACTCTGCCATTTCACCTTGGCACAAATTACTTCATCTCTAGGGGGCTCAGTTTTCCCCATCTGTCGAATAGGGATAGTAATGATATCTCATCGGTTTGCTGTGAGAATTAAATAAGTGAATAATGTAAAGCACATCAAACAGGACCTGGCACACAGTAAACACTATGTAACTGTCAGCTATCAGTGCTATTATTATTATTTGTTTACTATGTTATCATCTTTTTCCCCATCCCACCCCCAGAATATAAGCTACCCAAGAGGGAGGACTATTTTGTACTGCTCACAACTATTTCCAGAACACAGAGCACATAGTGCGGGCTCAATAACTATTTGTTGAAGGAACAATTGAGCTGAAATATCTTGGCAAATAAGTGGTGGAGGCGGGCCTGGAACTCAGGTCTCCCTGTGAGCATTTCTAGCTTCCAGGAGGAGGAGGGGTAGTGCGAAGGAGGTTCTATACCTGGCTCAGTGCCTAGCCCAGGGCAGGTGCTGAGAAACACAAGCTGGGTTTATAGAGGAATAACTGCCCCTGCCTCGCCCAGCAAGAACCATGATACCACTGAGGCCAGAGGCAGGAAGCAGTGAGAAGTGAGGCGAAGAGGTCAGCTGTTATGTGAGCACCAGGGGTTCTGAAATTTCGGGGATGAGGACCCACTGGGAGGTGTTGTCTAAAGAAGCAATGTGGTAAGACCTGCGGGTCAGGACAACCGTTATGGCTTGGTCTGGTAAAAGAAGCTAGAAGTGAGGAGACCAGCGAGGACACTGTGGGAATAGAGGTGGTAAGGGCTGAGGCAGGGCAAGGTCACAGGATGGATATAAAACTTTTAAATAGTCAAGAAATATTTTAGAGGGAAAATGAATTAATAAAAGGATACTATCAGTAGCTAACACCTACATAGCTGATACTATGTGCAAGGCTCTGTTCTAAGTGGTTTATAGACATTAACCCATTCAATCCTCACAAGAGCCCTGCCAGGCAGGTACTGTCATTATCATCTTTTCCATTTTAAATATTTGGGAACCAAGAAACAGGAAGCTTAAGTGACTTGCTCAAGGTTACAGTTAGTAAAAGGCAGAGCCAAGAGTTTAATCTAGGCCTCTGGCTCTTAACTACTACTTACTAAATTGCCTCTGGTATTGTACCTACACAAAGGTTGTGTTTTTGGTTTGTTTTCTTTTTTAAGGTTTTGAGCCCTACATTCTCAGGTAGAGCCTTGGAAATACCTTTTTTGTTGCTGTGAGACTTTTTCCCTTACAACACATGAAAAACTTAGAAAAGGGAAGCAGCTCGAACATCTTTCCATCCCATACTAAGCATAAGAATTTTACCTAAGACCTCCCAACAACCTGGGGCTCCATAGCATCAGCCCCAAAATATACACAAGGAGACTTGAAGCTCAAAGGAAAGGAGTGACTTGGTCAGGAACCAGCTGACCTCATGGCTTGCAGCCTTCTAATCCCAGCACAGTGGGTGGTCCCATCTGTCAAATCACTGCCCCCCAGCAGAGATCAAGGCCCTGTTTCAGCACCATGGACAGTGACACAGGGCCAGGCTCTGTCCAACCACCCTCAGCTGCCCTCCGGCTTCAGCCCAGGTGGCCCCTACCCCTTGGACCCCCCTCAACTATCCAGGGCACCAGCACCTTGCTGAACTCGGCCATAAGCGTGCTGTTCTGCAAACGGAAGTCCTCCTCCTGGCTGTGCAGCTTTGCCTGCAGCATCTCATTTTCACTCAGCAGCCCCTCGACTTCCTGCAGTGGCAGATGTGGGCCAGGTCTCCAACAGGGGTAGAAAGGATGGGGCAGTAGGGCAAAGAAACAGAGAGAGGGAGAAAATGACATTGGGGGAGAACATAGGGTACAGAGAATGAGATGGGTGAAATCAGGAGATACAGGGGGAAAGACAGACATAGGAGGGATAAAAGAGGAGATAAGGAGGGAGGAGAGACATGAGGTAGAGAGAAGGGAAGATGTGGAAGGAGAAAGGGATGAGGGGAGACAGTGGGAGGAAAGAGGGGGTATATAGAAATAGGGAAGAAAGGAAGCAGAGAAAGATGGGGAAAGGGGGTTAGATAGGGAAGGAGAGAGGGATGGGATGGGGGAGAGAGAAAAAAAGAAAAGGTAGGACGGCAGAGAGATAGGAACAGAGAGATCAACAGAGGGAGAACAGAGAGAAGGGGTCAGGGAAAGAAATGAATCAGGAAGAGAAAAAGGAACAGGAGAGAGAGGAACGGGGAGAGAGGAAAAGGGGAGGGAGAAACAAGGAGTCAAGAGAGAGGAAGAAAGGGAAAGAAGAAAAGAGAGAAACGATGGCAGAGATAGGAACAGGTGGGGGAAAGAAAAAGAGAAGGTTGGGGAGAGAAACAAGAATCCGAGAGGAACAGAAAGACAGAGACAAAGAGAGACTCAGAGAGGAGGACACAGAGAAAGAAAGGGAGAAGGAAAGACATACAGAGAGAGGTGCAGAGTGAGAGACAAAACAGAACAAAGATAGACACAAAAACACATGGCAGGGAGGTAGTCACAGATGCAAGCACACACACAGAGAAAGAAAGGCCAGTACCAGGAGATCCCAGCATACAGAAATATCCCCTCTAAGACAGTCTCCCAGACACATTTACCCGCCAGGGGTCCCCTTACCTGAGCTTTCTTGCTCTTGCTCAGTGCCTAAAGGTGAGGGAGGTGAGAAGAGAGATAAGGTGACCAGAGATGGACTCCCTCACTAGGGTATGGAGATACTGTGGCAAGTGTCAAGGGGGGACAATGATAACAGGGGGTGAGGGATGGGGGTGTCTTTAACCACAATTTGTAGCCCACAGGAATGATGGAGTGAGTGGGTGAATGAGGAGCACCCTGCTTACATCCTTTCCTCTAAGCTCTTGAGGCTTTTCATGGGTCTTAGTATTTAACCCTCCATAGGCTGGATCTCCGGACTCAGAAATTATGGCTTCACTGTTCCATCTGTCCAAACACATCTATGTGGATCCCTCCCATGCACCGTGGAAACTGCTGTTCCCCTGCTGGGCAGCTGAGGGCATTGCCAGGTTGGGAAATCAGTACCCTACCAAAGAGAAGCCTAGCTTTTTGACTGCCAGACTTTCTGCATTCTGTGTTCCTTCATCTAACAAATATATAGGGAGAACATACTGCATATGACATTGTACTATGCATGGGGACAGAGCAGTGAAGAAAGAGACAAAGAAGGGCCTTGAATGCCTTGAGGGGCCATGATAGGTTATATGCTATCTCATCTTCAAAGGATTTGAGAGGTAGGTTTAGTCTCACTTTACCAACAGGACCAGGACAGGGGTGGGGAATAGGAGCACAAGGCAGGAGTATGAGTGGGGGACAGGAGGCAGGTTCAAGGCAGGTTTACTGATAGATTTGATTATTTAGTTAGAAATCAGTGAATGAGAATGAGTAATTGAAATTAAAAATGAATTAAGAGTAAATGAAAATTAATTAATAAATTAAGCAGACCTAGATAAAATTACCAAACAAAGGAGACTTCCATGAGAAATTTTTGAATGACTAGTGACAGCATGTAACATTAGGTCTGGTTCACTGTAGGTGCTCACTGGACAGATGAATGAGTCAGATGGCTACAGGGAACACATGGGTGGGTGAGTAGGTGGAAGGAGGTACCTTCTGAGCTTTGTTGAACTCCTTATCCAGGTAGGCGACCTTCTGTCGAAGACTGGTAAGTTCTGGTGTGGGGAAAGCAGGAAGTCTCAGCCTCAGTCAGCGGTAAGGAGCTGAAAGGTCCTCCTGCCAGGCCTCTGAGATTTTTTCCCCTTGGCCTCTGTCCTCCAAAGCCACCCCCATCTAATGAGACCCTCTTGGCTCACCAACACCATTCTTGCGTAGTTCATCTGAAAGCTGGTAGTTGTTTGTCCGGAGTTCTAGGAGCTGAGCCTTAGGGGGAAGCAGGGAAGGAAATGACTTGGCAGAAATGTGCCCCCTACCCTCATGAGGAGAGAACCAATCCCCTGAGCCCTACAGACCCTGCTGCCCTCCATGCGCCTCTTTAGTCACTCCTAAGACCCGTGCCTGCTTCATCCCAAATGAGTCCAGCCACTCAGCCTGTCCCACCTTCTCCAGTTCTACTTAAACACAGTCAGCCTCACCTGTCTCCCTGCTGCCTCCATCTCTCCCCTTCCAATCCAACTGTGCCCTCAGGCCATGACAGAGTGCTGACCCATTCAGTCTCTTGCTCATGTGTGTTCCATGCCCAAAGGATAAAGTCTGCCTCTTCATCTGGACTGGCCTCGTCACACGCTAAACACTGTTCTGTCTTCTGTCAGAGGTGTTCTCTATCCTCTTGGCCAGAGTAGGGGGCAGGGGATTGCCTTCCTCCCTCTTTCCCAAGGGAAGAGAGCCTGGTATTATGACCAATTTCACTGAGTAAAAGGGGGTTTCCCAGGGTCCCCACCCCCAAGGCTCTCAAAATATGTCCAGACCCCTTTCAAGAATTGAGGGAAAGTGAAGTATGGGCCATTCCAAACAGCATATCCCTACCTACCAGCCCTGTAGGTGCTGAGGCCAATTCTTCCCAGACCACCATCCCTTACCCCACCAGGACCTTTCCCTCTCTCCCATGGCACCAGCCTCCATCCCTGGGTGGTCTGCTAAAGGTGAGAGGGCTTGGCCTCTACAGAATCTTTCCTGCCCCTGTCCTCTCCCAGACCCAGTGATCTGTCTCCCCCAGTCCTGATCCAGTTGGAACACCCCTGGCACCCACTTACAGTGTCTATCCATCAGAGCCCAATGGTTTTCCCTTCACTCATGACCAATAGAATCAATCTTCCTCATTCAAGGATCCTCTATACCCCTCAAGATCTCCCCAGTCATAATCCAATGGGATGACGCTATACCCTTCAGGGTTTTTCCCCCACAAGGCCTTGGGTGGGCCAGTTGGATTACTCTTACTCACATGGAATACTTTGCACAAGTTACAGGGGCCTTCCCCTTTTTTGGTCCAATTATCTCAGTCTTCCACCCTCAGGGTCCCTCACATAGCGACAACTGGTTTCCTTCATTCAAGAATGAATGGATTACCTGCTCTCACTCGGAGTTCCTCCTGTCCTCCCACAGGACCCTACGCAGGGTTTCCCCCTTTCAGAGTCTCCACACAAAATCCAATGGTCTTCCCCAGTAACGAATTCTCTCAACAAGGGCCCACTCTGGCCTTTCATCCATCTCAGAGTCCCCCCAAAAAGAATCAAGTGGTCACAGTACTCAGTCAGGGTACCTCTCCACAGACCGGTGATTTCCCCTCCACGCAGTCCAAGGTATCACTCTTTCACCTCCTCTGGTCCTCTCTCCAACAAGGATTAATCGTATTACCCATTCAGGGCCTTCTTCACCCCATATCTAATGGGATCACCCGTAATAATCCAATGGTACTGCCCTCTCTTGGGATCCGCTACCACCCCTCGCACAGGAGCTCCACCTCCCAGGAACAATGACATGTGGGGTCTTTCCCCAGTCCCCTGACATAGTGGTATCTCCCACAAAAACGTCCACCTCCCACCGATAATGGTATTGCCCTCTCCAGGGCTCCCCCCACCACGAAGCAAACAGCCCAACACCCGCTTCCTTCTTCTCCAGGCAAAATGGTTTCCCCCTCTCAGGATCTCCTTCCCTCAAAGCCCAGCATTACCGTCGCCCACCCAAGGTGTCCCCCGCATGGGCCCAAAGGTCTCGTCCCCTCCAAGTCTGAGTAAGGTGTCGCCCACGCTAGGACTCTCTCTTCCGCCCACAAGGCTAACAGAATCCATCCCCTCAGAACCCAATTGTATCTCGGAATCCAGTAGTCTCACCACTCGGAGCCTCAGTTTCCCTTCTCCAGACCAACCCCTTAGGCTCAAGGTCCATCCCAACCAACCCCTGCACAAAGCCGGTGGGACGATCTTTCTCTTCCCCGCCCTCCCGTCGCCTAGCCCGGTGGTCTTTTCCCCGGCGAGCGGCACCTGCATCCGTTGAAACTCCTCCTCAGACAGAGCTTGCGCCATGTTCCTCCCCCCCACCCCCCCAAGAGCTTTCTGCGCAGACGCAGTTTGTCCCTCCTGTCAGTAGTATTAAGGTCGGACCAAACCACTGGGCAGGAATAGAGGGGGGAGGAGTCTACTCCGGAAGTTCAGCATTTTGGAAAACAAGAGAAGGAAACTGACAGGTTAGGTGAATTGCAATGTAATATTTTACCAGAATCAAGGTCATTTGTTCTGGCTTTTGAGCTCTCATGGACTACTCATTGTGATGCGACACTATGGCATCCCTGTGTCATGGGTGGACTCGTCGCTAGGGATGCGTTTGCCGACCGAAAATCACGCTTCTGTGGTACTCCTTTAAGGAGAATGGTTGGCTTTACCGTAGAAAAGAAAGCGGAAGCTTTCGCACGTCTTGTTCCCGCCCTCCTCCGGGTGACCCCAAAAGGGAATTCCGCCTTTGGTGAAACCGTTGGCGTTTTTTTTGTTTGTTTTGTTTTGTTGTTAAAGATTTGACGCTGATTTTCTTAACATGAGCTGTTGTTAGATAAAGGGCCTAGCCACCAATAAATTTAAAATACCTGTGAGGAAAGAATGGCAGTGACTCAAACGGGAAAGCTGCATTTAAAAAACAAAAATAGGATGACGAAACACCGGGAACATTCAAATAAGTATTAAAATGCATTATAAGCCTCTCTTGTGCTTACTGGCCACCTCTGCAAACCCTGCCACCCAAACAGTAGTTTTTATGTGGGAAAGAAAAAAATTAGAAAGCATGTTTAGCAGCAACATATCTCTACTAGGATACACCCTATTTTCTTTATTTTTTGGCGGGGAGTGGGGGGGGGAGAAACTTAATTTTGATGCCATTTTAAACGTACAGAAAAACAAGAATGGTACAAGGAAATTCCCTGTACCCTTTTGCCAGATTCATCAATTTTTCACATTTTGCCACCTTTGCTTTATCATTATCTCTCTCTCTGTCTCTAAATATAAAAATTTTGAACCATTGGCTTCAGCATCCATCGATTATTTTCTAACACCAACATTCCTTTGATACTTGTTAGTTACTCTTCTACTGTAAGGAAGAGCTTTCTCTTCTTCCCCATTTATGTGTTTATATCTGTACAGACTCGTGTTCTTATTTTATTCAATACATTATAATCAATCACTATCATTATTTCCTTTGACGCTCAAATTGTCCCAGATTTGGCCAGTGAGAGCTCCTTCAAGTTGACTTTTGTGTCCCTTTGACATGACCCCATCATTTTTTTTTATAATGGGACGATTAAAGATGATTCCTGCAAAGCACCCAGCCATGTGTTCAGCACAGAGGAGGGCTCAGGAACGATAATAACAAGAGCTGGCGCTTACTGTGCTGAACCCTTTGTCTGAAGTATCACCTTTTAACCCTTATAACCACCTCAACAGGTAGGTGCTGTCAGAGGCTCAGAGAGGCTGAGTAACTTTATTTATTTATTTATTTATTTATTTATTTAGGGCTGTGTAGGGTCTTCGTTTCTGTGCGAGGGCTTTCTCTAGTTGTGGCAAGCGGGGGGCCACTCTTCATCGCGGTACGCGTGCCTCTCACTATCGCGGCCTCTCTTGTTGCGGAGCACAGGCTCCAGACGCGCAGGCTCAGTAGTTGTGGCTCACAGGGCTAGTTGCTCCGCGTCATGTGGGATCTTCCCAGACCAGGGCTCGAACCCGTGTCGCCTGCATTAGCAGGCAGATTCTCAACCACTGCGCCACCAGGGAAGCCCCCCCATCATTTTTTTTTTAATGCACTTCCTTTCTGGCATTACAAGATGCTCCAGACTCAACATTATTCCTTTTCAGCCCCAGTTGAGAAAGTATTCATTGCTACTAGGGTGTAATTGTTTCTAGGCCCTCTCAGTGTACAGAGCTAGAAAATACATGTATATAGTCTAATCCATGTAAACACACATCTATATTTATATATTTTGCTATAGGTATATATACTTTAAAAACATAAGTACACTACTAATACCTTCCATTTCAACACAACAACACAAGATTCATTCTAGTTTCCTCACTTTTCATATTTGTAAGTCCCTTCTCCAACAGAAAGAAACCTAGCTCCCAATATCCACAATAAATTTACTTATTTGTGTAACCATATAATACACATTAACTCCAGAATTGCTAACCCACAAGACTGTGAAAAACAAACCTACCAACTACAGGTCAATACTTTTTTACAGCTTCTTTTGTCTTCAGGTTCCTGGTGGTCTGTAGTCAAAATACTGTGTTTAACAAGCCTATTGTAGCTTCAATATTTGATGCAGTTCCTTTTTGTTTTTAATCTGATGGTAGTCAAAATACTGTGTTCAAAAATTACTTGGGGAACTTCCCTGGTGTCGCAGTGGTTAAGAATCCGCCTGCCAATGCAGGGGACATGGGTTCGACCCCTGCTCTGGGAAGATCCCACATGCCACGGAGCAACTAAGCCCGTGCGCCACAACTACTGAGCCTGAGCTCTAGACACTGAGAGCCACAACTACTGAGCCTGAGCTCTAGACCCCGAGAGCCACAACTACTGAGCCTGAGTGCCACAACTACTGAAGCCTGCGTGCCTAGAGCCCATGCTCCGCAACAAGAGAAGCCACTGCAATGAGAAGCCCGCGCACCGCAACGAAGAGTAGCCCCCGCTCGCCGCAACTAGAGAAAGCCTGTGCGCAGCAATGAAGACCCAACGCAGCCAAAAATAAATAAATAAAATTAATTAATTAATTAAATTTAAAAAATTACTTGGCTTAGTTCTCCCTCTTCCCACCACCCCCCATGAGGCTGCACGATTCATTTGAAATATTGTTAGGTTCCTTTGTTTTCGTTTGAATTCCATTTTGCCCTCCCCTCCATCCCCTTGTTGAGGTAACTAATCTATTTAATTTCTGGTTTATCTTTTCTGTTTCTTTTCGCACAAATGAACACATATGAAGGGGAGCAGAAATGCCACACCAAAACATGCCGCTTTGATTTGCATTTCTCTAATAATTAGCTATATTGAGCATCTTTTCATGTACCTGTTGGCCATCTGTATGTCTTCTTTGAAGAAATGTCTACAAAATGTTCCACTTTGGCGTGTGGCTTATTTTAAGCTGAAAACAATCAAGACCCAGCACACTCAAGAAAAACGTTTACCTCTCTTTTAACTGCTTAGAAGAATTTAGATAGGGGTCTGGCCCAGAAAAAGAGCTATATCAGAGATAACTTTTTATCTGAAAGACTTACCCACATGGCAGGGCAAACATTTGACTACCAAACATCTGCTCTTCTCATCATCCTGTGAATTGCCCTCCTCCCATTTGAAACCCCTTTGAAGCCCCTATTCCATTCATTAGCTCAGGATGGCATATAAGCTTCAATTGCCTAACTACCTTTGGGTCTCATATTTTTATGGGTATCCTGTACATACGAAATTAGTTTTTCTCCTCTTAATCTGTCTTATGTCAATTTAATTATTAAACCAGCAAAGAACCTAGAAGGGTAGAAGGAAAATTTTTTCTGCCCTGACACATACATGTATATTATCTTATTTATCCTACATTAAGGGTAGCATCCTATAACTATTCTTTTACACTTTGCATTTTTCATTTGATAATATCTTCTTTCTCCCTCTCTCGGTCTCAGGTACATAGTACCCCATTTTGTAGATGTATCATAATTTAGCCACTCTTCTATGTTTGCCCATGTAGGTGGTTTCCAATATTTTGCAATTATAAACAATGCCAAAAAGAATAACCTTGTACCTATAGGTATTTTTTTATTATCTGAGGTGTATCGTCAGGGTAAATTCATAGAACTGGGATTGCTGCATCAAAAAGTGAATATCTGGATTTAGTTGATACTCCCAAATTCCCTCCCAAAAGGGCTGTTCCAAGTTCATTCCCACTATCGACGTGTTTGAGTGCCTGTTTCCCCACAGACTAGCCAATAGCCTGTGTTGTTGTATTTTTTAATTTTCTCCAATCTCAGAACAAAGAAATGGTATTTCATTGTAGTTTTTTTTCCCCGCTCATTTTCATCAGACCAAATGATCTGCCTGCTGTGGGAAAATGGTTTCAGCCAGGGCTCTTTTTTTTTTTTCCTTTTTCAACGTATGAACTTTATTGAGATATATTCTCTATCTGTATACCCCTCTACCTATTTCAAGGGTACAATTCAATGAGTTTTGACAAATACATACAAAGATGTAACCACCACCGCAATCAATATATGGAAAAATTCCATTACCCCCAAAAGGTTCCTTAGTGACCCATCCCAACCCTCCACTCCATCTTAGGCAACCACTGATTGGCTTTCTGTCACTGTAGATTATATGTGTTTTTGTAGGGTTTCATACAAATGGAATTAGACAACATATACTCTTTTGTGTCTGGCATCTTTCACTCAGCAAAATGCTTCTGAGATTCATCCAAGTTGTGTGTACCAGTATTTTCTCCTTTTTATTGATAAGTAGAATTCCATACTGTGGATATACCACAATTTGTTTATCCATTCTCTTGGTGTAGTTTTAATTTGTTTTTCTCTAATTATGAGTGAAATTACGCTTTTCATATAAGTTAAGGCCATTTTAATATCCTTTTTTAATCTGTGAATCGCCCACATCTTTTGCCCATTTTTTCTAGTGGCTTTTTGGACTTTTTTCCCCTTAATTTTCAAGAGTTCTTTGTATATTGGAGATATTAACACTATATTGCAATATATGTTGCATATATATTGTCCCACTTTTTCAGCTGTCTTTTGACCATGTTTATGATCCTAGGAGCTAGAAAATCGATGTATGCATGCTAACCCATGTATACACACATATCTATAAGTATTTCTGTATCTATTCATCTCTCTATATATATTTTTAAAATAAATTTATTTATGTATTTGTTTGTTTTTATTTTTGGCTGGGTTGGGTCTTCATTGCTGCGCACGGGCTTTCTCTAGTTGCTGCGAGCAGGGGCTACTCTTGGTTGCGGCACGTGGGCTTCTCATCGCGGTGGCTTCTCTTGTCGCGGAGCACAGGCTCTAGGCATGCAGAC